TCTCTTTTAAAGGTTACATTCCCCTCTAAAGGTTATGTTTGCAGACGAAAAGCAAGACATTAGCAGGGTGATGACTTAAATGCTAGGTGCTATGTCAAGCAAACAGAAAAGGTCTGAGAATGCTTATCTGTACCAGAAGTTACTTAAATACTTAGAAAATAACAAAATGCAGGACTAACTTAGGAGACTACAGTTAGTGTATTGTCACTAATCTCTTCAGAAAGAGCTCATAGTTTCTTAGAAGTTTTCTGTGTTTTCCTGTTTCCCAGAATATTTAAAATATTTGACTATATTGTTAGCCAAGAGCTAGTTTCAGCTGCCACCTAAATAATCTGAAATTGCTGTTCAGATGAAAGAGTCCTCTGCATTAAAGATATTTTTCCCTCTCTCTTTCTGGCACATTTTCATTCTTCTGCCCTCTTTCATGACAGCTTATTCATTGCCTGTTTGCAGTGAAGAGGGATCAAATTATTTAAAAAATAAATATACCCTTTGAAAAAGTATCAAAAGTATAAACCCTGAAAGCCAGTGCCTGCAGCAGGCGCTGGGGCTGGTCCCTCCTGGCAGCTCTGTGCAGGCTGGCTGCTTGCCTGGGCATGGCTCCAGCGCTGCTGGGCACAGCCGCCCACCACCACCCTGGGAGCTGAGATCCTCAGCTACCTTTGTAGCTTTGTAGCTTTCCCTCTGCTCCTCGAAAGGCAGGTGCCCTTCCTGGGAGAGTGGATCTGCAGTGTGCTGAGGGTGCCAGGCCAGCACCGTCTTGTGGCAGGGCGGGAAGCACACCTCTCCTCCTGGGGGTCAGCTGTCCGCCCGACACTGCTGATGACAGCGCTCCCTTTGCCGTCACTTGGGCTGCCGGGATAGCCTCCTGGGTATTGGGAAACCTGGTGTGTTGGCTTGGGGAGAGCTGTAGTCCCAATGCAGTTTATAGGTGTTAGAAATCTGGGGCTTGGTCTCTGAAATCGGCAACTGAAATTAGGGGCAAGCAGATCTTAAGTGATCTACAATGTTTTTATGTCTGTGTAAACATCATCTCATTTTGTCGTTGCTTTAATGGTTTTGTTATTACATGCACCTTTTAATTTTGTTCTCAGACTAATTTATTGCTGTTTCTGGAGAGGCAATAATGCTCTTACTCCCTTCCCCATTCTCTCGGCTGTTCTGGCTTATGAGGGGGAGTCCTCTCTCATGGCCATCTTCATCAGGAGCAATTGCAAGTGTCAGAGGACGTTTTGCTCTCTGACTCGGGCAATTCTGTGAAAGGCTTTTAAACCTGGTCCTGTATGAAGCCCTCCCTGCTGATCTATCAGCCTGGTATTTCTCTCCAAGGTTTTGATTTTTCAAGGAGCTGAGCTGCTCGTGAGGTGCTGAGCCATCTTAACCTTCACTGGGAGACAACTTGCTCTGAAGAGTACAGGCTCAGATCTCTCTGTTATTCCTGGGGACTGCTAGGAGAGAGGTGTGAGGGCTCCTCTCTGCACCTCTGGGGAATGGTGCTCCCAGGGTGACTCCACAAGCATCTGCTGGAAGCAGAATATAATGGTGCAAAGGTTCATGTTAAACAGTGTTCGGAGCTGGAGCACAGATGCAGGTTGAAGCTAGCCTCTGTCATGCTCCATTACTGTAAACAAGTTTTGAGAAAGAGGTGGCACCTGGAGTAAGATGAGCAGGGAAATGCCCTCAGCCTGGTAAGAGCAGAGGACAGTTAAAAACCCCACCAGAGATGAGACTCTGGAAGGTCAGTGATGCCCAGGGATGCTGTGGAGCCTCCACTCTGAGGGTGCTGAGGGTGCCGGGCCAGCCTGAATGCCTGACTGGACAAGGCCTGGAGCAATCAGCTTTGATGTGAATTTGGATGTAAGCTCAAAGCAGGTCCTGCTGTGAGTGGGGGTTTGGATGAGAGGGCTCCAGAGGTCCCTTCTTTCAGAAAATATTTTATTATTCCAGGAGATGTGGGCAACAGCAGGAGCAACCCTAAGCAACAGCTCACTCTGTATTTGCAAGCACTGACTGAAGTCATTGGAGCAGCTCCTTAATGCTGTTTTTCCACCCAGGCTGTGGTCAGCCCCCAGCATCTCCCACAGGAAAACACAAGAGGGTTTTTATAGCACAGAACAGACTGTAGCCAGCACAGCACAGCCCCCCTCAGAGAGCCCGGAAAGGTGGCCGGGAAAAGCCAGTGCACCACAGCCAGCTCTGAAGCCACCAGTAGGAAATGGCATGAAAAAACAGAGCATTTTGTAAAATAGCCCATGGTATTGGGCTCTGAGCTCTCGCTAGAGCTGTCACCTGCCCAGCAGAGCATGGTGTCTCTCCTGCTGGCACTGGTCTGACCAAAAACCCACAGGGAAGAGTGCAGCTACGTGGTGAGACAGGCAAGGAGAGTGAAAGACCTGTGCTGTGCTTTGAGGTCCCAGGAGAGCTGTTGCTGCGTGGTGCGAAAGCTCAGCTGAGCAGCGACATTCAGCACCTGAATGTATCACCTGCACCTGAAATTCAGGCCAAGCTGGCCAGAGGAGCCGTGCCAGTGACCCACCGACCAGGCAATGTATATATGCCTCTGTGCATATACCAGTCCAGCAGCTGTCCAGATGGTCCCTGTGGTGCATACATGGCAGTGCCAGCGTGTCCAGCATGGGCCCTGGCTGGGGGACCTGCACCAGACATGTGCCTGTGAGGTGTCTAGCTGAGTACAGCTCTAGTTAATTCAGAGAGGTTTCCTTGAGCTCACGTGAAGCCACTCCTCCTGCTTGCCCTCTCTGCCTATCTCTTCATATGATTATTTCCTTTTCTGTTACACTTCAGCAGCACACTTTTGAAGCCGATATTTTCTTGTAGCTGGTTTTTAGCCCTCTGGTAAGCTGTATGGTCCTGTATAGGTGGCTGCAGATGCTCCTCTGAGAGCCCCAACCTCTGCCATCAGCAGAGTCAATTGCCTTGCCTTCTAAAATCTTCTTTTAGTGGTCATTCTCATGAAAACACTCTGCTTTCCAAAGCTGGTTCTTTTGATACTATTTGCCAGGGTTGTCATAGTTTCAAGAAACAAGAGGTTAAGCAGCATTTGAAGTCTGAAAGCGCTGCTCCATGTTCAGGCTGTTTTAGGAAAGCATTGCAATAGCCCTTGAGTATGACAGCTGAGAGCAGGTTTTATTCTTCTCGGAGGAAGCTGAGGTTTCTGCATCTCCTGCTCAAGATTTACAGAAGTGGAAGCCAGATGCTGATGGCCTGGCTTGGCTGAAAGGTGGCCAGTCAGGCTCCCCGGAGAAATGGGGTTGACATCAAAACCATGACTTTGTTTGAAGTCAGTGGGGGTGGGATATCTATCGGGTTGGGGACCTATGACATTACTAGCCAAGTTTTTCTTCACAGTTGTGAGAGCTGGAAAGTGCAGTTCTCAGTCACATTCCCAGGCCTGCAGCTTCAAGAAAAACAAAAAGCCACAAACAAACCCAAATCCTGGACTTCCAGTAAAATCATCATAACTAACAACAACGATTCTGCTGTAGTTACTGTCAGTGACAGTGCTAATAGTACATTTGGAACCAAAACTGAGGAGTTTCATTTTAAAAAGTGAAGAATAGCCCATAGAAATGAGTGTGAATGACACCTGTGTGGAGTTCAGAATTTTAAAAGAAATGGTTTCTTATTTAGGTACATAAATAAACATTTAAGAATATTACTTTAGATTTTTGGGTCCAGATTCAGGCTCAATGAAATCCAAGTCTGGGTGCCCTCTGTATCTCCTGCATAGGCACCTCTGAAATCCCAGGCCCAGGCAATACTCGCTGGGCATTACAGCAGGTAAATGGGCTAAGACAGAGCTCAGGCTCACGGCATTACATTTCAGAGTCTGGAGGATTGTGAGTGGCAAAAGAGGCTGTTAATCATCGCTTTAACCCACCCTGTGGCCACCCCATCCAAGCACAGTGTTTGAGCTCTGGTATTGTGGTACGCATGCTGGTGAGCACAAACGTGACACGCTGTATGCGCTTCAGCAACCAGCACCTTGTTAGCGATAAAAAGATTTCTTACAGCTCATGCCTGAAAGCAAAAGGGTCTCTCTAGGGTAAACGGTGGCAGCTGCTATTGTCTGTGGCTCCCCTTGGTCCTGAAGCCGTGCTGGTCCTAAGGTTACCCCAGGTATGAACCAAAACCTCCCGACTCTCATAAGGTATGCAGAACTTGGCAGGCAGCGGTTGGTATTTCTTTATTATCAAAGAACCTCTGAAGTAATTTCCAATGACATGCTGTCTGGATGACTACTTTGTCTTCCTCTTTGTCTTCCTTCCTCTCACCCACTTCCCTCTTCCCTTCACCCCACCCATCCCCATCCCCATCCCCATCCCTGTTAATGAATTCTTCAGATATGCACCAGTGTAACGTCATGTTAGGGAGTTATGGCTACTGCAGTATAAGGAATAGAAAAGTCTGGGAAAGCTACACCAAGAAAATACATATTCAATGTGTCTGAAATAGATCTAAGATCTGTTTTCAGTTTCCTCAGAGACCATGTTTTTGCTTTTATCTAGAAGGCACTAAGAAAAAGAATTAAACAATTTCTATAAGCTGATGTTTTCATTGGCTATAGCTGCGCACTCTTATTCTGCACTAAACAAAGTCATGGCTTTGCCTTGGCAACATATTTAACAGCATTGTGTTTGGTTTGCAAAAGAGCAATTTGCTTTCCATATCTGGACAACTGATGTATGAAACACAGCATCCTTTTAGCAAGGAGGAGCTCTCCTTCTATCTTCATTATAGTTTGAAAAGTGCTTGCTATGGCTGTGCTTCCCTGGCCCACTGGTGCTTGCTGTTGAACAAGCACATTTGAACTTCCCCTTCCCCTTCTCCTTCCTCTTCCCTTTCCCTTTCCCCTTCCCTTTCCCCTTCCCCTTTCCCTTCCCCTCCCTGCCTGGCCCTATGCAGTTTCTATAACGTTTTGCCCTGAGGATGATGAATGACCCACCAGGGGTGTTTATGCCTCTCCCTTGTTCCCTTAGTATAACCTTGTGTGCGGCAATGCCTGGATGCTGGATCTCTCACAGGCTATCCTCAATCTGGGGTTTCTGGCCGGCGCGTTCACCCTGGGCTACGCTGCAGACAGGTACTGTATAAGCGCTGCTGTCCTTTGATTTTTTTTGGAGGTGAAATCACCTGCAATGAGCATGCGTCAACACTTTGGAGGTTTAATTCACTTTGGATAAACATCCCCAGCCTGGCTTGACAAAACCCAGCCAATATAATCTTTGCTTCCTTTTGGGCTGGAAACTTCATGCAATTGTACTTACTGATCCTGTTTGGACATTAAAATGTCATGAAAAGACCCTTTCTTGTGGTTTCCGATGTTTTCTGTGCACATCTGGACCCAGGAAGGGCAGAAGGACACAGAAATGAAAAGGAAGCATTCAGAGGAGTTTTCTGGAGTGGTGTTTACTGGAGGATGTTTAATAGGCACCACTGATGAAGAAAGCAGCTACTTGAGGAAAGAAGGAAGGGGCTTAGTATGGTAATTCTCTCCATTCACAGGCTGGACTCATACACTTACCACCGAGGTCATAGCTCCCTCCAGCCGGTCCTCAACTGTGTTAGAGCTGGATGAATACCAAGGAGAAGATGTGGGTGATGTGCAGGCTTGAGCAGCTGACCTACCCCGGAATGGGGAGCTCTCATAAGCTCTTCCTTGCTCTTAAAAGAGGGAGCCTGGTTTGTGCTTTGTGCTGATAATTAATGGTAGTCAACCTATGTGTTGGCTGAGAGCACCACTAACGATTTCACTGGCAGAAATATTTCTTCAGGTCATAAAATACATTCTTTCTGCCTGTTTTATTTTTCTTTGGTATCTGTAATAATAGTAATAATAACTTAATGTATGATTTCTTTGTAGGCAGGAATACTTACAGAATTATCTGGAATGTCATCTCAGATAACAAATTTTGAACTAGCAAACAAAAATACTTTTAAGGAAAACCTGATCTTTCCAAGGAATATAGTAATAAGTGATTAAGGTAGAAAAGATGCCCCGGCACTGGCTAACTTAAGATATCTCTGCTCAGTGTCTGGCGGCAAAGTTATGATATTAGCACCTTAGGACTGTGTAAGAGTTACAGCTAATTATTAAAATAAAATAATATGTCTAGGAGTACTTGTGTATCAATCATAATGTAACTACAGTACAACTATGAATGTTGCACATTGATAGCACTAGGGAATGTGCTGCAGCCAGACCAGTGGACTCTTGTCTCCTTGACAGCACTCAAAAGAACGGATCTGGTTGAAAATACCCTGATTTTTGTGCCATATAAATTCTTCTCATGAAACGTTTTGAACAAAATGAACAAACAAATAGTCTTGCAAATAGTTTTTGGTAAGATAAACAGCTACATCAGTTTTCACAGTTTCTTCTTAAAACAGCAACAATAACAATGCAGAAGAGATCAAAATGGATATTCTAGTTGTGTTCCAAGGACACAGTTGCACAGGAAGGTTTTGTTGGGTATTTTTTTTTTTTTGAATTATGGCTTACCTTGAGCACACCTATCAATAATGATGTTTTTTGCTGGAAAATGAGACTCCTGAATACATTAGGCAGACTTTGAAAACAAGCGGTCTTAAACTTAAACAAAACACTGGAAAATCACATAAAGTAATTAAAGAATAAATTACTTACTTTCACAGAGCTGGCTGTAATTACTATTAGGAGACTAATTTGTGAAAACAGATATCCCCAACAAAAGTTGCCTTTATTTCAACTGGATTAAAAATCTGAACTGTAACACATAGGCCATAGTTTAGCTACCAAAAGGTAAACTGTTTTCTAAAATAAAAGGGGGACTGGTGAGGACACCACTAGTTTTAAAATTAGTGATATAAAGACAGTGATAACTACTGCAGGGAAGAGTCCCATCTCCCAAGGGCCAACACTACAAAGTTTCAGGCAGCCTCTCTTTGAACAAGGCCAGTCTTGAAAAGGCGCTTTCATATCTAGCATTAAAATGAGATACCGGGAAAAAAAATCTTTGTGGCTTTTCATGATTTTCACTTTCTTTTCCCTTTTCAACAGATATGGCAGAATCCTCATCTACCTGCTCTCCTGTCTTGGGGTTGGGATATGCGGTATCATAGTGGCATTCGCGCCAAACTTTACTGTATTTTTGATCTTCCGTTTTCTCCAAGGTGTGTTTGGCAAGGGAACATGGATGACATGCTACGTGATCGGTGAGAGCTGTTATCTTCTTTCTCTTCTGGTTAGGAAAAGTGAGGGATTTTTGGAGGACAAGGAGTCCAGCTACATCTGCTCTTGATAACAATTTTCCTGGGAACAAAACACTGGCCCTGAGGTCAGCAGACAAGGAATAACTCAAGACCATCCTAGTTAATGCATTTGTCCTCCAAGATAAGGTGGCTGCATGCAAATTGTAACTTGGTCTAGGCTCATGCCTGAACTGAATTTTTGTGGAAGCAGTTATTGGCCTGTGTCCAGACCACGCTGGGGACCCTCCTAGCAGCTAAACAGTCTAGAGTTGCCTTGCTTGGCAACATCTGCTAATTTGCTGGTACAGAGGTGGCCTCTGAGAATGGCAGCAAGTGCAGACTCTTTCTGTTACTCAGCACTGATATGAGATGGAAATGAGTAGCAGTGTACATGCCTGCCTGACCTCATAGGATCCCATGGAGAAGAGCGAGGAAGAAGTAATGCATTAGGGCAGACTAACAAGAGTGATGTGTCCTTCAGAACTGTCCAGGCTCTCCTTTTGTACCCATCACTGTGGTATCTGAATATGCCTGTGTGCAGCTGGCCATAGGCAATTCAGTAGCAATGCAACACCTTCTGCTGATGTTATCTGAGGACTTTTATGGCTATCTAATCTATGGACTCCGACGGGAAGGGATTAACATAAATAATTAAGAGGTGGAGGAGTAGAATGTGTACATATAAAGGTTTTCTTATTACACAGAAGATCACCAGGATAATAAAAATATGCAAAGCAAGCCTCAAATCAAACAGGATACACAAACAGCGACATGGTTAATTTTGGCAGAGTCTGAACATCTTCCACAGATGCTCTGAGGAGTTAACTGCTTTTCCTCACTGGGAGGACAGACACTTGGATGGCTGCTCTTCATTCTTTAGCTGGGAGGCTTTGCTTAGTGCCAGACTGGACACCAGAGTCTATATTAGGTTTATTATTTCCTGAAAAGGGAAAAGGAAGGGAAGCTTTTTTATAAATAGCATCAAAACAGCAGGGATCCAGACTTTTTGATAGGTTATAGTCATGGCCCAGCAATGAAGCTCCTCACATAGCAAGCTTACTTTTAATGAGAAAAGGGTATTGTTGTGGCATCTTGAATGACTGCCAGGTTCAGAAAAGGAAACTCCTGTCTAGAGCATGAAATAGCATGGCATTAAGGAAAGCATCCTACTAGAGACGAGACATCAAATTTACTTAAAAAGAAAATCAGCTGTTCAGTAATCTACTGTGATAATCCAAAACACAGTGATAACATCATTATATAGTGCAAAAATTTGTAACATCACTGTAGTCTGTGAGGCCTGTGACATTTTTTTTAAAATTCCTGGTGGAATTTAGATGAGTGAGAGCAGAATTGCAGCCAGACATAAACGGTTACAGTGAGACCTGGGAACACCGTGGTGACATAGGTGCAAACATGCTTCTTCCAACCCCCTGTCTAGCCCTCTCAGCATCTAAATAAAGCCCAGAAGCACCAAAGTTTTCTGGGCAAAGTTACACTGCTGAGCAGCTCAGGTCCAAGATCCAGTGAAAGGGCCAGAAGCTGCTTTTCCCCTCACTTCCAAACACATAGCCTAATTTTAAACTGAGATCTTATCCTAAAACTTTGGCAAGTGCTCTAAGCAGCAAAATGTTTTATGACAGACTCATGGCTTCCTTAAAATGGCCAAGTTTTAACAGAAAGGAATGTTTTGCAATGCTCAGAGCAGGCTGTCTGACTTTAGGGAAAGGTTCAGAGATATGACATCATAGGGGACAGTCTATTACCACAGCCCTAAGCAAGGTGCTTAATTCTTGGAAAGAGTGATTCCATCTAAATCCCTTCAGGGATCTACTCTTACGTCCCGGGATCACTCAGAGTATTTACGAACTTAACACCTTTTAAAAGGCACATACAGATCACCGGGAGGATGGTTGCCATTAATACATCTCCCAAGCTACTGATCTGGGCTTCAGAATCACAACAGGCTGCCTCAGGAACGTCACTTTGCTTTTACATACAACCCAGCTCTTCCTGGGCCAGTGCTGAGCAGCTACCTTTAGGCAATACAGTTGCCCCTGAGCCGTGCAGACGTGATGAACAGTCAATAAAAATAGTAACGGTGTCATATCACCCTGCATTGCCAGCTGAAACAAATCACTGTTACTTGTAAAATTGTGTGTTCTTTAGTAAATTTTTTTTAAAAAGAAGTGTTTTCTGTGTATTATAAACCAAGTAAAACCCTCTGCTTTTACTCTGAAGGCTAGGTAGTGGTGACAGTTTTGAAACAAACAAGAGACACTTCATGCATTGCTCATCTCAACCATGGATCTCATGGCCTGAAATATGGGCTTACACGGGTTTCAGAAGTGATTAGACACATTCACAGAATAAAAAATCCACCAAAGGATTGAAAAAAACCAAAACAACAAAGGCTATGTTTGTTCTAATAAATAAAACAAGCTGTGGACCATACCATACCTTATCGCTCAGAGCAACCAGCATGGTATGGCTAAACTCTCTTCCCCACAGATGCCTTGTCCATATTACCTGCTGGGAGCAGCCCCTGCCTGAAGGATCCTCTAGTCTGGGGCATGGGCCGAAACTGTGCCAGGAAGAGTGCTAACAATTTACCACTAAACATGATCATGGTGCAGTCTCAAACCCCTGTTCTGGCCCTATTTAATTCATTAGTAAATACGCAGTCAGAAACCCCTCTAGCTGAAGAACGGTGGGTGAATTGATGAGGTATTACCCATGCTTGCCCTGGACGGCCTCGGTGACATGCTTACACGGCTGAAGGCAAGATTCTGGGCTAGACAGACTTGTGACCTGATACAGTACTATCCTTCCTTATGTTCCACCACTACTATTTTTCTTTCAAGTTAGGTTTGTTTCTGTGTTGTTTATTTTGGCTTTCTCTCTGCTCAGTGACGGAGATCGTTGGTTCTGACCAGCGGATCATTGGGATTGCGATTCAGATATTCTTCACCCTGGGAATTATGATTCTCCCTGGAATTGCGTACTTGATTCCCACCTGGCAGGGGATCCAGCTGGCCATTTCACTGCCCAACTTCCTCTTCCTGCTCTACTACTGGTAACATTGCAGTCATTGCTCTTGTCATTATTGCTATTGCTATTCGAGCAGCTTGAGACCCCCGCTGTGGTCCCAAATCTCCTGTGTGCAAGATGTTGTAGGTCAGGAAGAAGATATTTGTATATTGTTGATTTGGGCATTCTTAATTCCTTTTAGTGAATTGCAGACATACATTACTTTCCTTTTTCTGCCCAGGGTTTGCCTCTCTCGTCAGCCACAGCTGGCCCTTCACAGAACCCTGCTCTGCTCCTGCTTAGCCTGGGGCTGGCTGTTCATCTGGTTAACTTGACCAAAGTCTGCTTTTCCCATCAGCCATGGGACCCCACCTTTACCTCTAATTACGTACTCAGTTCAAGCCTGAACTTGCCCTACAGATCCCATGAGTTGGGCAGTACAGTTAATGAGAAAGCAGAGCACTATACTGTGGTGAGTATCTGTCCCAGTGGCGTGCAGCCATCCGCTGGGCTGGATCCAAAGAAACTAATCCACATACCCTCTTCCTGCACATCGTTTCCTTAAACGTTGCCTGTCGTGAACTTTTAAATTGTGAATCATCTTAACCCTAGGCTAGCAGAAACTGAAACACCAATCAGTGATATTGCTTTGTGTTCAGTTCATAAAATATGCATACATTTGAGCGTGCGTGTGTCTATCTTATGATGATACAGCTAGAAGTTTCCTGGTCTGCCTGTACTTGGTACTACATGTGTTTAGTGTTGACTTTCATTGTTCTTTGCTGTTCTACAGGCACCTTGTTTGCTTGTTGGTTATCGTACTTTTGACATCTATTGTGCAAATACAATAGTTAGGTTTCTTATTTTTCAGCTTTGCAGAGAATTGATATAGTCTATTTTCTTCCTTCTTACCCGCAAGGATCAGATATTTTACAGGAGACTGATTGGAAGAGCACTCTACAAAAGAGGTTCTGTATCCCAAAGACTGAAAAATCAGTGTGTTGTGTATTAACACAGGCAAAAGGCAAACGACTTTGGTTTACTTACGATGTTAAAGGGCAAAACCCCTATTTATGACTTCTGTGTTCTTACAGGGTGGTTCCTGAATCTCCACGTTGGCTCCTGACACGCAGAAAGGGAGAGAAGGCATTAAAAATCATGCACAACATTGCAAAACACAATGGGAAATATCTCTCACCACATTACTCAGAGGTACTGTCATCTGTTTGAGCTAGAGGGTTTTTTTTTCTAAACTTTCTTAATCTTTTGAAGGTTCAGTTGTGCTAAAATGCATTCGCTTTATGTGATGGGCAACACTCTTGAAGTGTCACACCAGAACAAGATTGTCAATCCCATATCTACTTTGTTAATTGCAAGAGGTTAAAAGTGAACTGGCTGGAAAGACATGGGCTGAAAATAGTTTGCAAGACAATGAATCAGGTCATTCATCTGCAACACTCCTACTTTAAAAACTTGTGGGAAATATCAGAAACTAGCCTGAGGGCCAATGGTATTTCACAGCAGCTGCCATTTTAGCTGACAGAGTGAGTGGAGACAGCAGGATCCACTTGCCTGGCTCCTTTGCTAGAACTTCCTTTTACAACTCAAAGAGAAGATGATGTAGAAAATTGGAATTTAAGTATAAATTTGCTTCCATCCCAATAGGGGGAAAATATGCCCCAAAATTCAAAATAGGGGAAGCACTGTCTGAGATCACTATTTACAAAATAGGACAATATATGTTAGAATTACAGTCCTTTGACAAGTGGTCTTGATGGAACTGAAAGGACTGATGCATTTCAAATTACACTATTGTGTCATTGCAGCATTTGCCTTGTTCTGTGCTGGGTAGCATTGCCTGGATCTCTGACCATGTTTACCGTGGCATTGGCCTTATGGTTCAGTGACGACAACAGATGTGGACAAGTTTCCTGTTCTCTAACAAACCAGGTCTGGAGCCTAAATGCTAGCTATTGTAATGTTAGAAATCGTTATTTGAACTAAGGAGAAAACCTGCAAATTGTTAGCACGCAGCAGCCCAGAGGTGGCATGCTGAATACACTACAAGTATTTCAGACACTACACAGTAGTATCCTTTATGCCTACATACATGCATATGCTTATACATTCATTTTTATACATATACGTATACAAAATTATCACGTGTGACTTTTAACTAAATTTTCGCTGAGACTAAAGGCAAAGACTTTGGGATGGCAGTGTTTGGAGGGGACTGATGTGTCCCATCCTGTAAGGAAGGGACATCATGATGTGTGTGCTTTGTAACAGGTAGTTGGCAACTTGGGTTCCCACAGCTTGGTATCTTACCTAGGTCTTCTTGTCGCTCTTCTTAAACAAGGGAGAACCTGAGAATTTAGCCCAGTTTATCCAAAAAAGTGGGGTTGCTTCACCAAACTCTTAGAGTATAATTCTAAATGAAACCCAAGCTATAATTATTGGCACTCTTCTGAAACACCAGCTGTTCCCAAATCCATAGGATTTTATTTACCCAGTGGGAAACAGGCTTCATAAATCATCCAGCCAGCCTAAGCAGCTCTGCTTATTCAGGGCCATTCCTGCTATAAATATAGACCTTGCATGAAGTGCGCACAGGAAGAGGTATGTGGCAACAGAAGGAGTATAGAAATGGCCAGCTGATTTATACCAATATTCCATTATCTTTCCACTTGGTTAAGTGCACGTTAATGACAGTTCTGGCAAGGTAAAGTTCACACAACAGGTTCCACAGAGAAGCTGGGCCCTAACATATACCGTGCCCTTAGGATATATGACTCTGGACTAATGACTAGTCAAAACTAGCAGCAGAGATGCGTATGCTGAAACATACATTTCCACAGCCAGCTGCTTTATTCATAAGCAACTTGTTCAAGTGCCATAACATTGCTATAATAGCATTTCTATGGATGTTCTGTTGCTCAGGGGAGCACACAAAGGTTAGTGATGGGGAGGGAGGTTTGTCAGGGGAAAAAGTTATATATAACTTCCTTGGCCAAGAAACGGGATATACTGGATAAGACTGTTGTACATTAGTGAAGCAACATGACAGAAGGAGTTTTGATGAGCAGTAACAAGCTAGACCAGCAATTAGTGAACCATTTTTCCGATGGAAGCCAAGGCATCTCTGTGATACCAGCCAAGGTCAGGAAATCACCCTCAGCTGTCCCACAATGCAGAATGAGCTTTGCTAGTCACGTTGGAGTAGCATCTTACACAACTGGAGGACTGCAGACTGAAACCAGTGGGAGAGAAACAAACTGAAAAGACTGAGTAAGGAGAGAGAAAAGGGTAAATCCATTTATTGTTCTTGGCTGGGGCATATACACAGGTGAGATTCCCCTGTCCTGGTCAGCATTACCCAGTGCCTAGTGCGGCCTGAGACACATAGCAGGAAGGTTGTGCTGCTGCAGCTGCCCCTCCACGTTCAGCCCTGTGTTCCTACACCCACTTCCCCTCTCTAAACATCAGCATTTTCAAAGCATCATGTCAGAATGGAGATGTATGTCTTTCCCTGCTTCTTGTTTTAAGTTATATTAATTTTTTTTCTTAAGTGTCCCTGTTCATGACCCTAAACCACTCACAGCTGCAGCAGATTAACCTCCACACATCCAGATTCGTGCTGGATCTGTTCCTGGGACCTTTTTAATATACAATGTCTGTCATCCTTGGTGCTGTGCCCAGAAGGGAGAGAGAGCGTCTCCAGGAAGCGTATTAGTCGCGGATCAAGTGTATTTCTTACATTAACTCATGTCAGAATTCGCTTTCACATAGCAACTCCAGAATTTCAGGCAAAGTGGTGCAGGTGTGGAGGGACAGGGAGAAGAGAGAGGCATTATCCATCAATGCATTTTGGCTAAGATTTGCCGATATGTCTGTAATAATTTCATTGGCCAAGTCCCTCACATGGCTCTGGATGTAGCAGCCTTGCATTTTTATTGGCATGCAGAAACCACAGATGACCTTTGTATGAAAACAGATAAACATTTGCTTCTTTTTCTCTGAGAGTTACGACACTGGCACAGTTCAGCTGCATCCAGAACTCATTAAATTAATTGTAAATTATAAATTCTCTTTTTCCAGTTGCTCGTAATTATCCTAGCATGTTTTTTTTTCAAGCTAATTTTTTTATTCTTGGTCTCTGTCCAAAAGCAGAATGGACTGCAACCAGCTGAGTAAGAGCTGCTTCTTGAGAGAATCGTGTATCAAAAACCCCTCTCCCTTTATATATATATTTCTACAATATAGACATGTGAAGACATACATATTTCTAGTATATATTAACTTACATACACATGTATTGTAGACATACATGGGTGTACTGTCCCTTGCAGAATTAAGCACATGCAAAACTATATGTCCGTTCTATGAGGAATCTTTAAAAATTATTGCAGAAAAACTGATATGTAATTTGGTGGGATATAAAAGTGCCAGGGAAGTTGTTTATAAAACTTCCTCCACAGTTTTCAGATAGTGTATCTTTGGAAACTTGGGCCCTGTCATTGAATTCCTGACTGCACTGCTGTGAATAGCAAAGCTCTCCTTACTTCAAAGAACAAAAAGAGGAGTATTTTCCCCACAGAATTGACTTTCCACAGTGATTTTTTTTCTACATCCATTAAAAAAATGCTCAGTCATGTTTGGGGTTATTATGACTTTATTAAGACATAAAAATATATGGTAGCAGCCGTGCTGAATTTATCTTTAGTCCTTTGGAAAACTAAACCCATATTTGCACAAAGTCACAACGGATGACTGGCAGCCTGCTCTTATAAACAAAGTCACGGCAGCTTTATAACCATAATATGAGAGTCCAAGACGAGTGCAGAAACGCAGCAACCTTCGCCTGCCCCACAAAGGGCTCTGGCACGCAACAGAAGTGGCAGCGCTTTAAAGAAAACTTCTGGCTCTGGTTACAGAAGAAAAGCAAGGGGGAGTAGAAAGGAAGTTCAAACAAATGTGAAGTTTCTCTGTCCACTTACAAAGTTTTGTGTTGCTCAGTTATGAAAAAGCCATGTGTAAATACATCCAGCCAAATCTCACTGAAAAACATCTGTGCTACCTTATGATACGAAAAACAAATACAGGGTGAAAACTTTGCGCATAGCCCTGGCTGATTCGACAAGACCCTCGGGCAATGACTTTGGCTTTACCTGTGTTCTCATGGATCTGCATGTTCCCACGTGCTTCTCCATCCTTTCACCCACGTCTCCCCGCCAGCCGGGATCATTTTCTTGGGCTCCTGCACTCGCGTGGGCAGCGGATGCTGCAGTTGTAGAGAGGGGTTTACTCCTCTCTTTGCTCTCTTAGGCCTCCTCTCAGGAGGGGGACAATAACTGAGAGTCAAAGCAACCAGACTGCCTGAAATCCTCCTAAAAAGGGCCCAGCAGGTTTAACCCCATGTTTCCCACAGCTGCTTTGAGAGCTGATGGCAATCCCAGCCAAGGCTGCCAGTTCTTGGGCGGTCTCATGGTTTGTCCCTGCCTAAAACCACCTCTGCCTTCTCTTCCTTGTCTTCCTCACCTGCTAAATGAATATACAAACAAAAGGGCTGCCACCTGGCTTGGACATGACAGTTAAAAACTGCTGGCTACAGTTAAAAACAGTCTCCATCAAGGTGCGTAATCCCTTTTTGGCCCTGCTAATATTCTGGCTCCGCGATATCCTATGGCAATGAGCTCCAACACATAAACACAGGCTGCGTGAAATCGTGCCTTTTTATGTTATTGTTAAACCTTCTAACTAACGATTTCATTGAGTGCCTCATTGTGACTGTATTGGAGGAAGCTGTGAACAGATTTACTATACTTTGTAGGCAGTACGAGGACCATTAATTCATACTTTGCAGGATTTTCTTCTTCCAGGGTAAAATCCATGTTCAGCACAGTGCTTGTGTATTTTAAGACCCTCTGAATTTCACCAGTTGAATGTTTTGTAGCACCCAAGCACCTTCGCAGATCTACTCTTTCTCTCACTCCTTTTTTCTTCCTGCTGCCCAGCTGTGCCACCAGCCGTGTTTCCAAGCCCACTGCTTGCTGCTCACCCCCTTTCCCTGCTTCCCACAGCCCACCGCTTTGCCCTTCCTGCCATGGTCTCCTCCTCTCTGTCACCTCTGGCAGAAGGCAGCTCTGCTCCCAGTGACCCTGACATGACAACAACTGTTTATTGCCTTCCGAGAAATTCCAGGTCAACCTCTCTCAGTTTACAATGAGGAAATAATTTTTCCACTCTCAAGTCAAGATTGGGGATTTTTTTTTCTGATTTTTGCACGATCATCATTAAGGAAAACCCACAGCTGTGTCCGGTTATAAGCTATTTCCCATATCTGCACACTGCTCTGGAGTGCTAAAAGCAGCAAGCTGGCTCATCAGCACCTTTGCTCGCTGGACTGGAATATTGCTGAGCACCATGTTTACATAGAAACTCTGCCCCAGCACCTGCCTGACTCCCGACAGCTGACTCTACTGCTTACTTTTCTCCTCAGATCACTGTTAGCAATGAGGAGGTCAGCAACCCCTCCTTTCTCGACCTGGTGAGGACTCCCCGGATGAGGAGGAACACGCTCATCCTGATGTACGCCTGGTGAGTGCTCATGTCAGTCCAGCTTGTTGCCAGGGCAGGGGGTTTTGAAGAAAAAAAATCCCTTGTGACTTTTTAGGGTCTTTCCAGCTGCTTGTAGTCATTTGTTCGCCTCTCAACTTTTTTTCCCCTTTGCTGTATAGGTTCACAAGTGCCCTGATCTACCAGGGGCTTGTCATGCGCCTAGGAATTGTCGGAGGAAACCTCTACCTAGACTTCTTCATCTCAGGAGCTGTGGAGCTGCCTGCCGCTTTCCTAATTTTAGTGACAATTGATCGCATTGGCCGGCGCCTTCCCTTTGGAATAAGCAACATTGTGGCAGGAATTGCATGCCTTATTACTGCCTTCTTGCCAGAAGGTAATTTCCTTCCCGAAGTCAGGCTCTTTAGGTCAACAACTTCTCTCTGACACTCCTTAAGCAAGGACAGCAAGCCACACAAAACTGTAGATAAAAGTAAAAAAGTGTCTGGTGATGCAAGCAGCACTGCAGTCATGGAACAACATATCTTATTTGCTTATAGATTGCCCTGGGACATGTAATGGTTGTATCTTTGATGGGTGGTGAGTAACAGCTGGGTGTAGTCTTAGGAAAAAAGTGTATAAAGGTCCTGTACTGTTTTTGAAGGCAAATGCAAGGGAAAAGTACACAAACATAGAGAGAAAATACATTCCCTGACTTGGAAGACATTTAATGGTGTAAGAAATCAGTAATTTAGCTGAGGCAGCTTGGTGGTCTTCTCATTTGTAAATAAAACAACGCAAACCACAACATGATGTAGGGGCTGCGGCAGACAACATGGAGATTGTTGCCCTGCACTCACCCTCCCAGGGGTTTGGACAATGTTAAGGGTTGGAGGAAAGGTATGGCTTTTGATTGAGTCATTCTTATCTGGTTTCAAGGACAAGTAAAAGGTCTGATATTGCACACAGGCTTCCCAGCATTGCTATCTTTTCTTTAAATTGTTTTCCCTCCTGTGTAATTTTTTTTTATCCCCAGGGAAGCATTTGGAGGTGCTCTGAAGCAAATGTTACCACACCAGCATGCTTTGCCTTAGCGTAGCTGGGGACCAGCAGTTGAACTGGCGTTAGAGAGGCTTATTCCTCCCCAGGGATGTTCCTGTCAAAGTAAGGGACAGTCCTGGCCAGCCTTAGAGGTTTTAGTTCCCGAAGTTATATTGTGGGGCAATCATTTTCCTAGAGAAGAGCCATGAGAAGCCACTTCAAGAGTATGATGTGCCCATGAAAACAGGCAGGTTTGTGGTGAGTGCAAAATGAAATCCTTCAAAGAGGTGTGTTGATTCACCTCTGTCTCAGTTAAGCTCCCTTTATAGGGATTCCTCCAAAAGTACTTAAAATTAATACCGTATGCTTGAGGAGCTTCACTGCTTTAATAGAAGCAGAAATGACGGGAGAGGGAAATGGAGAGAGAAGATCAATGATCTGTTCCTGGTGCTGGCACTGGTGGCTGTGTCACCATGCCCTGGGATGTCACGTTGTCGTCACTTGTTTGCATTCATCAGTTTGACCCACTGAAGTCCGTGAGGACTAACTCTGCTGTCCTGGTGGATTTCCCCCAGGTCCCCACTGCTGTGTGCCTCTCAGAAGAGCCGCCACATGTCGAGCAGATGCTGGCCGCCCCGTGCTCCTGTGGCAGCTCCCCTCATTCAGGGCACGGCAATTCAGGCTCAGAGGGCCTGGTCACCGTGTCATCTGCTGACTTTGCCAGCATCATTCTCCACCTGTTAAAAAAGTACAAAGGACCTGCTGGGACAGCAGGGACTGGGGACTATTGATCGCCTGGAGTTAGGGCTGTTGCAGGAGGCGGAAACAAAGACCGGCACTGGGGAGTTACTCCTGCAGGACACCTGCCTCTAGCACCTTCATGTATTTTGGGCCACACCATATGCTGAGCATGGTGCAGCAGGTCTGGGGTTAGAGCAGGAGCATCGTGTGGGGCTGGTATGGCTTGAGTGAGGGGAGAAAGCGGTGGCCTGGGACCAGCAGGATGCTGCCACCAGCCTGCTCTCAGTAGTGGTGAAGTGCTGAGGGGACCTTGCCCAGGTGAGGAGAGGACAGCCTGGGGATTAGATACTTGCAGATGGGACACCTGAGGTCCGTGTCCTGCTTATATGTTTATACAGATGGGAAAAGCTGCAGCAGCAGCTTGTGAACGCTCAGTCACGCTGGGGTGCTCACATAGTTTGAGTCCCTTGGCAGAGGGAGGAGGCACACAGACGTCACCCTCACCTCGGGGGTCTGATGGACTGAAGAGGTACCAGGGAGACAACGTGGATTTGTTTTGTTCTTTCCAGCCTTTGCTTTTCTTACAAGTGTTTGAAAACATAACTTTTCAGGGCAAAAGCAGTGTCTTGCAACATGGGATGAAATTCAATGGGGGTTTGTTTAGTTGTTTTGGAAGGGAAATAACTCCAAGCATCTCATTTTTTGGTTCAGAGCAAAGTGAAATGTTTTCTTGTTCTTCCTATTGAAGTTTTGAGAAAACACAATCACTGCCGGAGCCCTCTCCAGTGGCAGAGTTCCCCTTCGTGCCAGGTTCAGGCTTGTTATTTCACTTGCCTCCCCGTCTGCCTGGTCGTGGCAACCGTCGTCTTCCAAGAGCATTGCAGAAGTGCTTATTGCATTCCTTGTGACGCTTCTCCAGAGGCCACTGGCTCTCCAGAGAGGGCAGTCGGAGTGCTGAGGGGTCACACACAGCAAGATGGGATGGGTCTGCCCTGCAGTGCGGATGTGACCGTCGCACCCCCTGCTGATGTATAAAGGCTCCCTGCTGACATATACAGGGCAGTGGCTGGGCACCAGAGCTTGAGCAGAGCTGGGAGAACCAGGCAGAGCCACCAGGGCAGCGTAAGGCCCCTGGGCCGGTCGTGCCAGGTACAAAGACAAGCACCAGGGAAGGGGAGGGGGAGGATGGCCAGGAGCATTATTAGGAGCGTGTCTAATGTGCAATGGCCAGACAAATTATGACATGTACTTGGCCTGCTCTAGGGAGAATTATTTTACTGTTGCTGCAGATGCACCTTTAGAGGTAGCTTCTTTGTGGTCAGAAGGCGTTGGGAGGTGACTCAATGGTGTTTCTTACAGCATAACATCCCTATATAAATAAATACTCCTTTCCAGAGCACAATTTGGACATGGTCATGGGAGCTTCTAACGTTCATTCCCCCACCCATGCTGTTATGCCCCACTGGAATCTTGAATCAATCAATTGGAAGTGATTTCTGATTCTCCAAAGCAGCCTCGCAGGATGCTGGAAAGCAATAAATGCCAGTATAGATTGGTATCTACAGCAGTGGCCTTTCAGTCTGATTTGCACTGATCCAGTGTTTCTGTGACGTAGCTTCTGCTGACAGGGCCTGGGGCTCTCAGAAACGCTCTGCTGGTGCAGCAAAGGACACTTCACCCGGGTTTCTTTTTGAATGAACAGATATCCCATGGCTCAAAACGACGGTCGCCACACTGGGAAGACTGGGCATCACGATGGCTTTTGAAATCGTCTATCTTGTGAACATTGAACTGTACCCTACGACGCTGAGGTACATCGAAAGCTCCCAGGAATCTTTCAACTTTTCCCTCTGCTTTTCCCCATTCCCTATTTCACCACTTTTTAGTAAAACGCGGTTTTCTCCAGAGTTTCCTAACTGAATAGCCACTGCTCAATGTGGATGGCATTTTCTGATGAGATAATTTTGGAGCTAAGTCTACGTTCTGCTCCTTAAACTGCTGTTTCAACTGTTTGTTAGCGCCTCTCAAATATCTGGCACTATTTTTCTTTTGCAGAAACTTTGGTGTTTCCCTGTGCTCGAGTTTGTGTGACCTAGGTGGGATCATAGCCCCATTCCTGCTTTTCCGATTAGCAGCCATTTGGTTGGAGCTACCTCTAATTATTTTCAGTAAGATTTGATTTAAAATGTACTTTTAGTTTAAATATCCTCCTCCTAACAGAGCTTTTCTTTTGGGGCAAAAGTGTACTGTATGGCCTCATCTCTCCCTCAGACCAGCCCCGCTCAACCTTCATGCCTAGAGCAAGAGGCTGAATGGCAAATGGGTGAAATGTGGGTGTTTTCACTGCACGTTATGGAAGACCTCCGGTCTGCTTGGGTGAAGCATAAAAGAAACTATGTGAGGTGCTTTAAGACTGAGAAACCTTACAGCTAAGTTCTGTAATTGCAGAGAAATAAGCTTAATCTCCCAACAGTAGAGGTTAATGTCCTTTAAAAAATATTTGGTTTGCATTTTTTGGTATATACAATTATGACTATGGATGTGGTATTAACCGTAACTACTTATGCCTGTCAAACACTTTTCCTCAGTTGCATTTTGGAAAAAATGAGCCCTGTGGATTAACTCTGTGGGAAAAAATTAGTTACTGCTAGCAAGGAAGCGGGAGTCTGTGGCTAAAACAGACTTTCAGGAGATACATGTGACTGGGAAAAAAGCAAAAGGGATAGGATAGAATAAGAAGGGAAACTGGTGCTAATTAAAATTTTAGCTTGAAAACAAAAACGGAAAGACAAAAGACATTTTAAAAAATTACCATTATTCCAAGAATAGACGTATATAGAAGTACTGTTCACATTATCTAATGCTGAAATTCTGCTGCTGCTGAATTGAATAAACAGCTACAGAATCAGAGAGGAACAGAGAGAACTATGCAACAGTCAGGGCTTTTACTTTTTGCTCCAGTCCTTCTATTTTTGACTTATTACGTTCTTTATATCTATGCAGGAAATTATTCCAAAATAACCATTCTTGATGAAATATTTCAGATTGGCTCTATCTGAATGCTCTTTCCCAAGGATGATTTTTTATTCTGAATCACATAATCTACTTTGGCCACGGATACACGAAGAGAGTATTTCAGGAGAATCTCAGTGGTCTCAAAAAACACAGATGCATCTATGTGATAGAGCCCCTTGAACAAAGGCAGATTTTTCTTATGTGAGAAATACCATCCTGGTTCCAGTAAAGTTTGTATGTGCTTGCCCATGTGCACTTATCTCAGGTTTTTGACTTCTGAGATCTCCCTTTTGGGGCAATTCAGGCTGCAAATGAACCGGTAGCCCTCAAGTTTTTTTGTAAAAGGTTAAATTAATGTAGCATAAAGGTGTTTGATAAGAGTAAGGTAATCAGAAATAGCTGTTGCACTTTAAAAATCTCACTTTAACCTTAATCTGAATAAACTTTCCTCAGTGGATAAACCCCCAAAATAAGAAAAGTAACAATTTTCTTATTACTTTTGTATTTCTTCAATGTCCATTGTAGGTATTCTTGCAGTTATCTGCGGGCTCCTAGTATTGCTTTTACCAGAGACAAAGGGAATTTCCTTACCAGAGACAGTGGAGGATGTGGAGCAGCTTTCAAGGTATGATATGTATTTTCTTACGTTTACTTGGATGAGGTTTCCTGAGGGTGCTCTCCTCCAACCTTGTCAGCTGTCATCAATTATTGATGTTTTCCAAGTGTCAAAGTAAATTTCCTAGTCAGGTTGATGTTATGAGCAGGTGGTATTTTCCTCAATAGAAATGTAAACTTTTCAATACCACTAAGGCAGGTTGTTAAAAAAAAACAGGGGACAGAACCTGTATTTTTCTCATAGAGACACAAAGTTATCTTGTGCACCTCTAGAAGCAGAAAGTAATAGTGTGCAAGAGAGAGACTGCGAAGTATAGCCTGCAGCTCTCTGCTCAAGAGGACCAGCCATTACCTCAATCAAAGCATCCTGTGAGGAAGGACCCTTGATCATGGGAACATTTCCACAATTTGTGAAGTCATTGAAAAGTCACATACAAGATGAATTTGTAGCTGAAGAGTTACAGGCACAGCTTTTCCACTGCTGGCACATGGCAAGCCAGACTCTTCACTGCATTGCGGGCATGCAGGGAACATTTATGCCTTGGCTTGCTTAGTAGTAAATTTCTTGAGGAGCTAGTGCTATACATTAATGTTTCAAACAGTGGCTTTGGATATTACATCAATAACTTTTGCCCGCTTCAATGTATGAACTAAAGAAAGAGAAAATTTTCTATGCAAAAAGTAAATGTTTCAGTATTGCAGCTTGGACTACAACTTGGACTACATCTTTTCCTGTTTCCTTCACCCTTATACCCCTCTCCCCTTCTGCTTCTTCAGTCATTTTGGTAAATGTGGCAAGAAACGGAAACACCAGGACACCAACTCTTATATTTGACCTTTGAAGGACGGCACTGAACAAAGAACCCTGTTCCCATATTTGTTGTCCACCTGCCATTGCTTCAAAATTTGCTGCAGAGTATGGATTAAACTCCATGTTCTTCTTCTAAGCATAAAGATGTTTAAAACAAGGAGTGTATTTTTCTATAAATATGGAATAAATTCATTTTTTCTGAGTATGCTGTTTGCAGGAAGGGAGCACTCCGTGGTTCTTGGTAGAGAACAGAACAGCTTAAAAAAGATGCACTATCCAGCTCAGTGAGGTCTTATTTATTTCTTTATGTATTTGAGCCATTTGTTTATTTCTAGTGCTAGCATATACCTTTGGGTGTGGAGGGTTGGAAACAGTACTGCTTGTTTAAGATTTGGATGACTTTGGAGAAGAGAGGATGAGTATTTCAACCCGTTCTCCTTTACCTCTGGGGAATCTGGACAAACAGAAGATCTGATGGCTCAGGAATGAAGATGCTGATTGGGGTGGTCCTTTTTCTGGTCAGAAGGGAAGGGAATCAGAAGCATGCATGAGGAGACCCTCACCCTGGTCTGCTCGTCTCCCCCAGCGAGCCTCTGCCACAAAAGCCCTGCTTCCCTCCCTGTTCAAGGACTTCCTGAAATGTGGCAGCAGCCCTCCTCCTCTCCTTCCCAGGGCTTTATGTAGGTGTCACATCCTGCACAGGGCATTAGCTCTGCAGGTCAGATCGTCCTGCTGCCCATCGGTACCTCCCCCCAGACCCAGCTGGGGTTCATGTGCCACCCCATTGTCCTGTCCCTTGGCCAGGGACCCCCATGTCTCCTGAGGGAAGGGCCTCTGTCTGCTCTCCCCTGTCAGGTGCTTTTCCAACCCTCTCTTTCAAGAGCTGATCTTTTCCTTTCTAAAACATGCTCTCTGCCCATCCCTACAAACAAAATTCCCTCTCCCTGACCACTGCCAAGGTGACCCCCAATTTCTGTCTTCTGTCCGTTATTATTATTTGTCATCTTTCTGTCCTGGGGCTAAATTATTTGGGTTGTTGACAGGGATGTTAAGTTGTCTTGGGAAGATGAGGAGGGATGAGACAAGAGCTTTTGTTATGGAGGGAAGTGTTAACTGGTCCTTGTTTCAAGCTGACATGTAGCAGAATGGCTTGAATCTGTGGCTCTGCAAGCAGATAGCAGGGACGGCCTGCCTTCCCTTTCAGCTGTATGACCTTCTTCATCAAGCATTGGGTCCTGGCCACTGACAGGTAAGCAATACACTCCTTACAGTGAAGGACTCGAGAAGATGTGGTGTTCAAAAGGCATCCTGTTACCAACAGAGAGTTAAATGAACAAAAGAAAGCCAATGAGCTCTTGTAATGGCCTTATAAGCTCAGAAAATAACGTATTTGGCATAAGCAAATATAAGACTGAGTTTTGAAGGTTCATACCACAAATGAGTAGTGCTAACATTACAGTCAGTGCAGCTGAATGACTACTGCTCCAGTCTCACCATCTTAAGAGCGCATATGGGCAGGTGCCTGCACAGGGGGATTTCCTATGGTGAGGAGTATACTGTGCATTTTAACAGTTCCCAGCTCCCCCTGCCTTTTCCCAGCAACTGCCCATACCACCAACCCTGCTGGAGGAAAACAGGACCTTTACTAGTATCTCGCTCTAATGTTTGCATGCTTTGAGCAGTTAGTGATGAAGGGCTGTCTTTCAGGGCTGTTTCTAACTTCCTCTGAGGCACAGTTAAAAGTCAATGGGACGCTTAGCAAAAGTCAGTACTGATTGAAAGATATGAAACTAAATTAACATCTCATAATATAGCTGGCTAATTGGCAATATCTAGAAGACAACGCAAAACTGGAGCTACTGCTGCAGGGAGAAAACTCCTCTTACACCAATATGGTCTTCTGCAGATAGCTGTAGACTCCCTGGGGCTGGCTGGCAGAGACCAGCCCTGAGCTGGAAGCTGTGGGCTTGCACTGGCCGGGTGCCATGTCTCAGAGCAGGATGGGAGTGCAGGCGCTTGGCCGCAGAGATCAGCCCAGCCTTCCTCGCACCCAGCCAGCTTGCACCACAGGCACGGCCCTCGCAGAGCCAGGGTGAGGCAATCAGATGCGATGCTGTGTGAACTGAGCCTCCCTCTTCCTTTTAATGTTTCTTCTTTGTGAATTTTAAATTTTTTAAATCAGTTTCTTAAACACTACAGCAGTCTGAGAAGGACTGCGGAGATTGTTTAAAGCTACATCTTGCCAAAGAAATATCAATATTATTTGCCAGCTGCTGCTGCTTGTGGACAACTAAAATTTGCTGAGAAGTGAGAGACATGAAGACTTTTTTCTGGCCTTTCAGACTGTTCTTTGTTTTGCATAGCATCATATGTTGCTCAGAAGAGAATATAAGTGAAATATTTCAGTATGTAAAATGGCTAGGAGCAGTGTTTGACGTTTGAATGTATTTATTTTCTAAAAATTCATTATGTAGAGGACAGCAGGAAAAAGCCTGTGTATGTGTTCTGAATTCTAATATGATAGTACTTAACAACTTCAGGTAGAGTTTGTATTTGATAATGGCTTCTGTGCTAGCTCTTTCCCCTAACAGGGGGATTTTGTAAGATGAAAATCCTCCTGTCTCTGTGAGACTTTGGGTTGCCTCATGAAGGTTGTGAAGTGGGCAGTAACGTGTTGTACGACCAGCGGTTTGGTGACTGTGGGGTTACACTGTTGTGGGTGAGAGAGGACAGATGAGGTGGTGGAAGCAGAGGGAGAGCTTCAGTGAGGGAGGACCCCGGAGGAAACCAGCTAGGGTCGTGCAGACCACTGGACAGGCTGCTTGTTTGAAAAGAGTTACTATAAATTCATATGTGCCTCAAACCACTTAATACATTGAGCCTTATGGGAAAGTCCTACAAACTTCCCAGGCAGCAAAGCAGTGTTCTCCTAAACTGCATGGGTTGACACTAAAAGGGCTGTTGTGATGCACCTCAGTGAGAGGCACCTCTTCAGGAGGGGCCAAACTGCCAACTTTAGTAGTCTCGCATGTGTTATACTTCAGAGGCTCAGTGAGAGATGTGATGTGCATAGCAGACAAAGGATCACCTTACCGCCGCCAAAGACACATGTTCAAAATGACCACAGAAACCCAGGAGCTGTGTTCTTCCTGCCTGCAAAGAGGTTCCCTAGACCAACAAATGGCTGAATGTGCTGTTTGGTCCAAATGTGCCACTGCCACCAAATTTGCCTCGTTACTTCATCCCTTCTGTGTGAGTGGTTAGTGATAATTGACAATTTTTATTGCCATTGACACTCTCACAGAAGGAAAAGATCTCAATTTACATGCTTTAAGAGGTTATGAAGTGGGACTTCTGTAGCCGCTCAGGTGTGTCTAGGTATTTCTGGTGGGTTTGGCAAGGACAACAGGAGTGGGTTTGGCTGCCTACAAGCCAGGTATTAACCATGCCTGCAAGAGTTCACATTTGAAGAGCTTTACAAATCAAAGACCAAGCTGCAACACAGAATGTCTGTTGTTAGGGAAGTACTGTGCGGATTTCTTGGCTGACTTAATGATCCAAAGTAATAGATACAGAAAATATGCAGAAGGGTATTTGGGCCCAGTGAATCCCCCCAACCAGAGAGGTGGGTGCAGAATGCTTTATCAGAGCTGTTCCTGCTCAGGAAGGCAATGCCCTGAGATCATTGCTTCTCCCAGAATCAGACTCCAGGTGTAGAAGCCTTAAAAATCACCCTGCCACCTAACTCTGTTTTATAGCTCTCATCTCCCTTTAAGTCTATGGGAGAAAAAAAGAACTCCTAGGATGCAACCCATCCCTTTTGTATGTGCATGCATACAAAAAATAAAAAGACAATCTAAATTAAATGATGCGCAGCTTGCAATGCCTGGGAGTGGACCTCTGCACTGCAGAAAGTGGACTAGACAAACCCCAGCCCAGGAAGTAGCTGTGGTACTTCAAGTACACTCAGCACACCCTGGGGATGCAGGAAGGATGCCATGCAGAGCCGGGGGTCCCCCGGCGCCTGTGGGGTGCTCCCTGGCTGATATGCAAGGGGTGCAGGGTGGGAGCTGGGGTTCATAGTTAGCAAGTGTTTAACTTTGGCAAGTGTGAGCCAAGCTTTCCCTGGGAAGCATTTCTGAAGGTCTAAGCTTTCACTTCCTATAACCACAGGCATGTGTACATAATTTTCTTTTAGAGAAGAAAAATGTACATGTAACGGTTATATAGTGAGATAAAGTTATATAGTGAAACAAATAGGCGTTATGGACAACAAAATTTTATAATACGTTAAATGCACTGTCATTACTTGCGGCAATGATTGACAGTTATTTCTCTGTCTTCACTATAGACTAACTTTAGGGTGAGGCTATTTTTTATTCACTGTTTTATATCTTTGATGCAACATTTGTACTTTTGCTGACACACAGATTTCCATGTCAATAAAAAATACGAAAATACAAACCAAATGTGTTTGCTTCTTTTTTTTTTCCATCCCACGTATTTAATGCTATCGGATATATCTAATGAAACTTCACATGCATACAAGATATGTACAGTGAGATTATTCTTTGCTTTGTATCATCAAATTGGTAAGAGGCTCAGACAACTCATAGAAAATGAGAAGTATTCTCCTTTCTTCATTTGTTGGAAGCACAACATCTTGGGAAAGTCAACCTCATAAGAAAAAGTCATTGTAGAGCCTAATATAAGATTGAAATGCAGAAGTCCAGTTACAATTGAGGTTGGGATTTTTGGCACGTATTTCAGAGGTGGGTAAGTCTATTGTCAAACATAGCAAACCATAGAACGTATAGAAAGAAGGTAACACACTGTCAGTTGGGTTTCTTGGCAATAACTGTTAATTTATAGCAATTTAAATTGGATGATCATATTTATTTTGCGTTCTTATGAATGATTGTAGCTTTAATATTGCACTTGGAATCTTGTATTTCTAATGTGCATACAGCTTTCCAGGAGAGAGCAGTCCACACTCAGGATCAGTTGTTTTCCATTATACTCTTAATCCAAGGAATATAATTGGAAACTCGAACGTAAACACCAGGTTTCATGGGTCGGGCACAGCCAAGGCCCCAAGAGGTGACTCCATGATGGACAAATTTATCTTGGTCCAGACAGACTAGAGGTCCTCCACTGTCCCCCTAAACAGAGAAAGAACAGGATGATTCCTTCACAGACAGCCCTATGAGCAAGAGTGGC